GAAGCCAGGCAGCTCTTTGGAGGCAAGGATTCTGAGGCTTCATCTGACTTTGGGCATCCTTGGAGAGAGACATCATGCTTAGAAAAGGGGAGGGACAGAGAAAGAGAGGGATACCATCAATGAGATGGATTGATAACAGTGACTGGGGTAATGAGGGTAGGTGTGTCAGAGACAGTAAAGTTGGCAGAGGATAGAACAGGTTTCAGGGTTGTTATACATATGGGGTCACTGTGAGTTGCAAGTGACTTGATGGTCCGTAACAACACAATAAAGACAAAACTTATATATATATGAATGAAACATAATGTATATTAATTTCATATTCAAACCAATATAAAATAAATAAAGAAAAATAATTAAGACTAAATTTTTTTTTCCAGTTTTTTTTCCTAGTCCAAATTTAGCTTTCCCTTCAGTATTCTGTTTTGGGGTTTTTTTTTTAAATAAAATTATTATTTTATACTGGTTTACTTATAAGTACTCTGTTTTAGTAATTCTTGAGGGAGATTAACTAAAAGGAATCTTTATTTTCTTAAGAAAAGAAAACAAGAATGGTTTTTCATTAACCAAATTGAATTACAGCTTTTGGAAAGCTTCTGTGGCAAAGTCCCTATAATCTTCAAAGTCCTGTAATTCTATGAATGTTTCTTATTTTTAGATTAGGGTGTGTATTAGTTTTTTAAAAATACTGTTTGTTCTTAAATGTTGCATTTTTCTGCGTGTGACTGGAACACATGCTTCCTGCTTACTTGCCTAACTTTAGTACACACGTGGACAAAACCAGCATCCAGAGCTTGATGTTTGTAATTATTGAGTAATTCTGTGTGCATATTTCTAGTCTATACCACTCCTCAAATTTGGCACACATAACCTTAGTAACCACCTTTTGGCTTTTATAATCACAGACTGTATATATCTTGATTGAGGATAACATCTGTGCATTTTATTTTTATCATTTTAATACCAAGTTTTATTATGAACTGCTTCAATCTCTGCAGTTGCTTTTTATGAAAGTTAGAGTTAAAATTACTTTTGTTGAACATATTAGAGTAAAAATAAAGAAACAAGACATACTAGCATCCATTGTATTGTGTTGTAGAAAGCATTAGGTTTTGGTATTGAGGAGTAGACTGTTCTTGCTCTGTAAGAGTTAATGACCCAATTAATCCATTTTAATTGCCCTAAAAAAGATAAAGACCTTTAATTGCCACATTAATTGCACTTGAATACTCTCTTCCTCCCAGCTCCTAATCCTTAATGAAGGCATATGCATTGATGTATGCAGAGTGTTGTTAAAGGTCTAGTAAGTGTTTCAAAAGAAGAAAATATGTGCTAATATAATAATGACTGAGGTTAAGAATAATACCAAAACGTAAACTCATTGTCATCAAGTTGATTCCAGTCATGACAACCCTCCATTATATTTCCAAGGCTGTAGATCTTTATAGGAGGAGACTTCCTATCTTTCTCCCTCAGAGCAGCTGATGGATTCAAACCACTGGCCTTTGTGTTAGCAGCCCAATTCATTAGGATGCAGTGGAGTAGAGATTCCCTAGCCTGTTCATGAAGGTGAATAGTTTCCATGGGAGGAGGATGAAGGGAAATGTACAATTTCAGAGGAATGCTTGTTTAGGGGAGGGCAAGAGGGCTTGTCACCAGAAGATTTCTGGCTGGCCTCTTTAATCTAATTTTGTCAGAAAAAGGGTTTTGGGCACTAATATAAGGAAATACACCATAATGTCAAAACAACACATGTGTGGCAGGGTGATGGGACATTCTCTTTTTCAAGTTTTTCATACTATTTTAATAAGAAAAAAATAATTAAAATTTTTAACTTTTAGCATCACTCAACTATAAAGTTGACCTTTCCATTAAATACAAAAAATTAGGTTTTTCAATTTATATTTTTAATAAAATCATTATTGAGCTTTAATTATAGCATGTTTTATGTTTCTTTTCTAAACAGACATTTGTTCCAAGAAACTGTTTTTCAAAAATCCGTGAGACCAAATCAGACTTTTCTTTGCCTAATTGTTTACTTTTTGCCAAGTTTGTGTTTATTGGAACCATATGTTATCCTGAGTTATCTTTGCTTATGATCTCTTGGGTATTTTGCCCTCAGAGAACCTTTATATTAGAAGGTAGTAAAAAGTGACAACTTTTAGAGTACTTCAGACAAGCACATCAGAATTACAGACAAGAGTCTTTTTTCCTTGCCCATCCCCTCATACTAATGAAATAGTATGGTGTGACATTACCATGGAGGGAAAAATTAGGAGAAAGCCTCATGTGTGACCAAGCCCTCCCCTAATGTAGAATTTCTTAGAGCATAACTGTTGTTGTTATGTGCCATCGAGTAAACTGTGACTCAGAGTGACCAGTAAGTAGCTCTGAACTCTGCCTAAGCCAACTCATTGTCTCTGATGCTCCTATCCCTATCACCTCAGTTACTGTGTCAGTCCATCTCATTCAGGTTCTTCTCCTGCACTTGTCCCTCCATCCTTCCAAGCATGATGTCCTTCTCCAAAGACTAGTCCCTCCTGACAACATGCCCGAAGTATTTGAGATGGAGCTTCAAAATTCTTGCCTCCAAGGAACAACTTGGTTTCACCCTCTCCAGGACAGACTTGTCTGTTCTCTTGTCAGTCTTCTCCAGCACCACAACTCAAAAGCATCAGTTCTTCTGTCATCTTTAGTCATTGCCCAGCTCTCTGATGCATAGCAAATAATTGTAAAGACTATGGCCTGGATCAGGTCCCTCTTTGTCTCTAGACTCAACGTTATTGCCCTTCAGCACTCTGGAGAAGTCTCTCTGACAGAAGATTTTTGCACTGCAGTTTATCTTTTGATTGCCTGGCTGCTGGTACCAAGAGTATTGATTGTGGAACTGAGCAAGCAGACAGAAATCGTTAACAATCCCATTCTCTTCTCTATCGTGGTGCTGCCACTTGGCCCAGTGATGAGACTGTTTGCTTTCTTAGTTTATAACTACAGCCTTATAATTAAAGGACCTTTCTCCCTTCTGAAACTGAGTGACATTTTTATATATTCTTCAGAATTTTTAAGTTAAATGCTTAGGTCTTCCAGACTCTGTTCACATTGGCGTAGTATTAGAAAGTCAGCCTCACAGTAGTCTTTATGAAACCAAACTCTACTCATATGCCAATAATATAATAGATCCTGTTTTGTTGTGTAGAGAATTACTTTTCTGGTTTAAATTTAGAAGCCCTGTTGGTAAGATCTAAAGATAATTTCTTCTTTTATTCATTTATTTCTCCCTATACTAATCCTGTGTTGCCATCAGAAAACAATCTGCTTTTATCTAATTTGTGTGGGTTTCATTTGAAAAAAGGATTGTACTGGGGGAAAATTAACCATTGAACTGATCTAGGTGCCTGAACTAAAAAATGCTTTCTCTTCCCTGTCTCTTGATCTCCCAGCCCCAGACAGCTTCTGATCAGTGCAGCTATGTCTTTTTTTAGTCAGCCATTCTGCCAATATGGTAATATGCCCCTGCTGTGCGGGCCTAGCAGTTAGGGAGTTGTGCTGCCAACCCAAAGGTAAGTGGTTTGAATTTACTTTCTCCATGGGAGAAAGATAGGCAGTCTAGCCTCTAAAAACCTGTCAGAGGTTCAGCTCTGAGTTAGTTCCAACTCATTAACAATGAGAGAGAGAAGAAGGGAGGGAGAGAGAAAGGAAGATTATCTCTGTAAGGAGCTGTGCTGCTAACCATACAGGTGAAAGATGGCCAGTCTCTCTGTAAAGATTTACAGCTTTAGAAACCTGATGGAGGGTTGTCGTGAGCCAGATTCGGTTCAATGGCAGTAGACATCGGGGATTATCTTTATAATCAATTATTCATTCCCTCAATTCATAATTCTGCTTGGCGACTTTTTTGCTTTTCCCTAATTTGATCTTTCTCAAACTAACACTCTGAAATAGTAGTAAGTGGCCTTGAAAAAAGCATGTTGTGGCTCTGAGAAACCTCTTAGCTCTCTCTGGAAAAGTTGGTATGTATTAATATATTAAAGGCTTTGAGATGTACTAAGGAACTCTGGTGGCCTAGTGGGTTAAGAGCTCTGTTGCAACCCAAGGATGAGCAGTTCACATCCATGGGAGGAAGATGGGCAATCTCCTAGGTGATTTATAGCCTCTGAAAACCCACCCAGAGGGTCAGCTGTAAATCAGTTGTGACTCAGTAGCATATTTTTGACAAGAGTTCTGGTGACATAAAAAGGCTCTGCATTTCTGGAAATTGGAGCTCAATGGTGGCTCACTGGGAGAAAAAAGGGCAGCTGCCTCCTGTTAAACTCCTTTGAAACGCAACAGAGGACTGATTGCTGTGAATCAGAACTGACTCAACAGTAGTGAATTTTGCGAAGTCTGTGACAGAAAAAAAATTGATGTTTTTGTTGAAGAGTGCTGAATATCCTTTGTACTGCCAAAAGAGCAAACATATATATCTTAGAGAAAGTGCAGCCAGAGTTCCTGGAAGGCAAAGATTGTCAAGCTTCATCTCATATTTTGGACATGTTAGGACAGAGTAATCCTTGGAAAGGGATGTTGTGCTTGGAAAGGTGGACGGTCAGCAAAGGAGAGGAAGACCCTCAACAAGCTGGATTGATTCAGTGTGTGGTAATGGACTCAAATGTGTCCAGGATGATGAGGATGGCACAGGATAGGACAAAATTCAAGTCTGTTGTTCATAGGGTCACTGTGAGTTGTACTCCACTCAGCGGCACTTAACAACAACAATAAATAAGTTATTAACTTTGTTTAATCCTTAATTTCCCAGTTTATTTGAACATGAGAAACATTTTCTATTGAGACGTGGATATTAACATCTCATGAAACTGTTCCTTAGAACGATTTGGTGAATTGAAATTACTAGTAATTGATCTGTTGAACAAACTTAGTTTAGTTTGTATAACCACTGAGATGAACCAAATCATCTTGTGTATTTCACAGTGCGACAGCAAATATTTTTGTTTTGTCCGTAGGTGTATTGTGCTGTAATCATTCAAAGGATAACCAAATGTGCCGTGATGTATGTGAACAGGTAAGCTTGCATGCTGGCTAGAGACTATTTTTTATGTGATTGCTTGTGAAGATTTTTTAGATAAATCCGTCGGACAGCCCTTACTTAGCCAGGTGATCAGAGTTCACATTACCAGTAATCAGACAAATCACTATTGGCCTCCTGGCATAATGCATTGAAAGGTGTAATATCACTTATATAGGATTCCAGCCCAAAATGTGTAACATAAATCTTGGGAACAAACCCAGCTGAGAGGTATTCCTCAGAACAACAGCCTGTACTTACAGCGAACAACAGCCTATAATTCCAGCTCTTTTCAATTCAGAATTGTAGTTGTTGGTTTTGGAAGGGAAAATATAGTTACTAAATAACTGGAGTTAAATCATTTTTCATTGCCCTTAACATTCATGAACTTCATAGTCTTGACTATGTAGGTAACCATGACAATCTGTTTGATATATGTAAATATATGTAATGGCTTAAAATTTACTGAGCCATCAAATTTATAATTGCAGTAATTAGAGTCCTATTTGAAAGTGAACCACTTTGCCTGGTATGTGAACCATGTCAGTTCCTCAGCAACTGTGTCAAAATTAGCTTTGTCTTTTTTTTTTTTTTTAAAGTTATATGCTGTAATGCTTCTCACAAATTTGTTTTTCACCAGTATCATGGGTCAGTTTTCCTTGTCAAACGACTGAAAGCAGTTTTTTGAAACAGTTGAGAATAAATTTTTCCTCCCTTTGCTATTTTCCTCTTTCTCCCTCTCAGTTCTCTAACAAGTTGATAGCCTGATTTTTCTCCTTTTTTGGTCTTTAGAAAAGGGTTTATATCTACGGCATTTGAACTTTTTTGATTATTTGCCAAACCATCACTTAAAGAAATACCACTTTAGCTAAATTTAAATACTATACAGAAGCTTTCCATTTATACCACAGAACTGGAAAATATTCTTAACAACTAGTACATCTAGAGCATAAGTCTTAACTCTTCTCATTTCTTATGAAAAGAAATTTAATGCTGTAATTTATTTTTGTGTGTGTGTAAAATAGATTTTCTCCTCAAAAAGTGAATCCCGTCTAAAACATCTGTTGCAGCGAGCCCCAGATTATTGTCCGGAAACAATGGTAAGTCTTATGTAACTTATCTATGGAAGCTTTGTTTAAATGAGGCCATCTAATGAATTGCTTTTAGATTTAACAAAATTTTCAATGTTATTGAGGCTTATGATCAAAGTAAAATGTTAGACTTAACTGCATAATTTTTTTAAATCTTCCTACTAATTGTATACTGAATTTGATTTTGCAACTTCTGAGTTAGATGCCAGATAAGACAAGTGGAAGCCCAGAACCTTCCTGAGCCAAGATACCAAAAAACAAAGATAGCATACTGAGATTAATTTTGGAACCCTGAGTCAAAAAAGGAAAAGAAAGAAAATACTTCAAACATCTGCTAAAGGAGGAAACGGAATGAAAGCATCAAATAAAGAGATTGAGTACAGAATTATAAACAGTAAGGCATTCTGGCATCTACTCCAGCAACTGTCTGACAAAAAAGGTGCACTCTCCTCCTTTGTTCCCCACACCGTTCTGGGGAACAAAGGAGTGACCTTCCCACACTACCCCTATCCCCACCCCACCCTGGTTCCAGCTCCATCTGAGGCCAATTTCCTGCCATGTCTGGGCTGCAACCAGCCACTGAATTAGTGGACACTCCACCTCCGATTTGAATTTTTGCCTTTCACTAGGCATCCTTAGGAATACCTTGCTCATCACACGCCATAGTCTTATATGGAGCACTGTACTCTCTGTGGAGTATGTCATCTTTGGGCATGTCAGATTAGCAATGACTGTACCTTCCTACTAGCCATCTCTTCTTAAGAACCCTGGACTGGTGTGGACAACATACCTTAGCCAAGCAGCCTGTCCTAGGCTCCTGTGAGACTAGCAGAAACTCCAACCCATCCTAGGTGCCCCACTTGTCAACACACTGTAGACCCAAAAAGGTATTGTCTGTAGCCTTGCTTCTGTCTTAAGGTCTCAGCCACTTCTCAGGTGAAAAGAACTGTGACCTGACTGAGCACCATAACCCTAAATTTCTGTTGGACAGGCAGATAAACTGTCTCAGACCAGACACCTTGCCTCTACCCACCACAACAGTGCCAAGAACACCAATCCAGTGCCAACCCTCACTCTTCCAAGGCCTGTCTTTTTTTTTTCCCTTTAAATTTCCCATCACTTTTTAAAGTTGTGTTTACTTAGCACAGTATAGAGCAAGGTTTAGGGCTATTGTACATAGGGTCACTGTGAGTCACAGGCGACTCGACGGCACATAACAACAACAACATCATGATTTTAGTTTATCAGTCCAGTGATGAGGATTTTTTTTTTGTCTTTGTTGTTGAGATGCAATCCGTATTGAAGACCATAGTCTTTCGTCAAGAGCAAGCATTTCAAGTCCTCCTCTCTTTCAGCAAGCAAGGTTGTTACCTGCATAGTGAAAGATGGTGAGGCTTCATCTCACTTTTCTTTGGGCATTCTGCTGTTGTTTTTAGGTGCCATCAAGTCAAGTACAACTCAGTACAACAGATCTGAACCCTGTCCTATCCTGTCCCATCCTCACAATCTCTCACACACTCGAGCCTCTTGCTGCAGTGACTTCGTCAAGCCGTCTTGTTGATAATCCTGCTCTCCATCGCTGACCCCCTACCTTTCTCAGTGTAATGCGCTTCTCCAAGACATTACCTCTCGTGACAACATACCCAGAGTAGGTGAGATGAAGCTTTATCATTTTTGCCTCTGGAGACCCCTTCTGTTCTTTTGTCAGTCTGTGGAATATTCAGTAAGTACTCTTCTCCAACACCGCCGTTGAAAGGCATCATTTCTTCTGCCATCCTTATTCATTGTCCAGCTCTCAGATGCATAGACAGTAACTAAAAGACCATGGTCTGAACCATACGTACCTTATATCTCATACTAATATCATTGTTTCTCAATAATTTGGAGGGACCCCTGAATGCAGACTTTCCCAGAGCAATATGTCTCCTGACCTGATTGCTGGTGCCAAGTGTATTGATTGTGGAACAGAGGCTATTCCTTGGAAAGGGACAACATGCTTAGAAAGGTGCAGGATCAGTGATGGCGGGGAAGACACACTGTGTGATGGATTGTCATAGTACCTGCAGCAAAGAGCTCAGATGTGTCAGATGATGAAGATGGCACAAGATAGGACAGGGTTCAGATCTGTTCATAGGGTTGCTGTGAGTTGTACTTGACTAGATGACAAGAAATGCAGCAAAGCAAAAAACAGGGAATAAGTATAGCATCAGAGCTTCTAAATGGAGTGGAAGTCAAAGAAATTTCAAGAGAAACTGATCTGTTTTTTACTTGGGAATAAAATAGTGACTTACAGTGTAACCTCCAAGAAAAGTCATAAATCTCATCAAAATGAGAAAGGAAAATCATAAGGACTTAGAAAACACTAAAGCAACAGCAATGAAGGAAATTATAAGAAAATCCAGAAACAAAATTAATTCAGCACAAATAAATAGATGAAACAAAGAAACTATACAATGTATCCTAGAACTTTGATGATATAAACAAAACCATAGTCATATAATTACTATAGATACTGTTATATTTAGAAACTGATTATCTGTATTAAAAGTCCCGATGATTACTATTTTAGGTTGAAATTTGGAGTTGTATGAATTCATCTTTGCCAGGTAAGCAATAGGAGCTTAACATTTAGCATATTCTTTTTTTTTTTTTAGCATATTCTTATGTCATAGTTCCTATAAGCCAATGCCCACCATTCATTTTCTATCTTCTCCTTCCTTCCTTCCACTTCCCAAATTTTCAAATGTATAATTTATTCCCATTCACTCAGTTCTTTACTTTGTACTCTTATGTCATGTCTACCATTCTACTGAAACAGCTCTTTGAAAGATCACCAGGATATCTTGGTTCCTAGAGTAAGCCTCTTTTCTAGATCTTGTTCTTTATTGCTTTTCTGCCATACTTGATACTATTGACCACTGTCTCCTTGTGACTCCATCTTGGCTTCATCACCTCGTTATCTCTTATATTTTTCCTCTTAGTCCCATAAGAACTGTGCTTATTTTTGTTTGCCTTATCTTCTTCTTTCTCTCTCCATACTCACCTTGGAATCTCATTGTTTTCATTCGATCATTAACTTACCACCTCTGAGTAAATTAACTATTAGCTACAAAAAAATTTCCTGATTTCTAGATGTATCTCTGCCTCATTTTGTATCCAGGTGGCATCCAAAATACAAGTCCAAAATCAGACTTATAACTGCACCTTCTGCAACAATGAATGAATGAATGGAAACCCTAAATCTCTGTAAACTTTCATTAAAATGAATTTAAAAGAAAACCCTGCACCGTCTGTGAATGGCGTTAAACTAAAACACTCAAGTTATCTTTGATTATTGTTTTTGTTGAAGGTTTGATTGGGTTTACTCTCTAAGTCCCATTGACTTCACTTTTGTAAAACTTTGTATCTGCTCTACTCCTGATTCAAGCCTTTATTAGTACAGTATTGGAACTGATTATAAAATAACCCTGTAGCTGGTGGTTCAGTGTGTCATATTTGTCCTCCCCACACTCTTCAAAAAGAATACCTCAGTGGGTATTAACTCCCATTAAAACAGATCTCTTTCTTGCCAAGATGTAATCTCTATAATGGGATAAATCATATTTTATCCATTTCCTAGGTTACATACCTTCTAGAGTGCCTTGCATCTGGTAGGCATATAGCAGGGACTTAGTAAATGTAAGTCCTTATTGAATAATATTTTCTTAGAGCCCCTGATTATTCAGAACCAGCAATATGCCGACTTTGGTAAAAAAAAAAAAAGTTCACAGAGTTTATGACCTACATTGATTCCACTCAAATTCTTTTGAAAATGTGAAGAATTCTGAATAGCAAGCAATAAATATTTAGAAGAAAGTAGGTACACAGAAAATATTTAGAGAAAACTATACGAAACAGAAGGAGCCTTTATGACATAGTATGTAACATATCTGGCTCCTATCCCAAAGATTAATGGTTCAAATCTACTAGTCCTGTGTAGGAAAAAGATGGACAGGCTACTCTGTACATATTTACAGCTTCAGAAACCCAGTGAAGAATTGCTGTCATTCAGAATCGATTCAGCGGCAGAGTTTGATTTGGTTTTGAATATCCTCAGCACAAGAAGGCCCTAGTGGTGTAGTGACTTGCGTCCTGGGCTCTAACCCAGAGGTTGGAGGTTTGAGTCCATCAGTGACTTCTTGGGAGAAAGATGGACAGTCTCCTCCTATAAAGATATATAGCTTGGAAACCTGGTGAAGTGGTGCCATGCGTCACACTCAATTCAATGACAGTGAGTTGAGTTTGTTTTTTTAAATATATAAATATATTCAGCACCGGAGCATTGGTGACATTGGGATTAGCAGGGAATTTGTTGACTTTCATACTCTTAAAATACATAAGACTAAAGCAGCTTATACTGTATCGTATTTTAAAAGATGTTTTATAATTGGAATTGAAGAGGACACTGACTACATTGGGCATAAAGGTGAGGGAAAGGGTTTACTAATATTTTTACCCTGCTGCCCAAGTTAGTAATTATGTAGACAGCTGCTTTTACTTTTAGTGGTATTCAGGAACCTGTTTGGCATGCTATTTGTGTTTATCAGTATGTGTGACCAACAGTATTGACTATTTTGTTTTTAAGGTGTCTTTAAGAAGTCTGACAGCTGGGTTGGCTTAGGCTGCTGTGAACTGGCTATTGCCTCAGAGTGTCGTCAGGCATGCAAGCAGGTAACATTGGACAGTTAGACTCAAGCAGAATGGAGTGTAGGTGGGATTGTAACTGTGCATCTGTCCTAGGCGTTATCCATTTCATAGCTTTGAAGAGATGACTGATCACAAAAGCAGCAAATTTAATTTTTCTTATACAGATAATTTCCTTTTAGATTTTGCTTTTCCAGTTATGGCTGCTAGCTACATATAAGACTCTTAGCTTTTTCTCATTATTTCTTCTATCTACCATACAAAGAAAGGGTTGTAAGAATCAAGACCCTTTGTACTTCGCCTGTGATCATGCTGAATCAGTGGTGAGTGATACCATATGGTCATGTAAGTTTAAGATATTCCTGAATGAAAGCCGCTGATATAGTTGGCATATTTTACTTTCCTCCTCCTCTCTCTCTTTTGTCATGAATCTATCTTGTGCATGTTCTTATTACCTTTTCTTTGCTCCTCAGGTGAGCCTGACTCCTGTAATGATTTATAACTTCTTTATGTTGATTTCTCTCTGATTCAATTCAGGTTATGCTCCAGAGTTCTTCCTCATTGTGTATGTTTTGATAGTGGCTCTTCAGACTGCTTGGTCCTCCTGCCTCTCAAACCTGAACTGATGAGAATAAACTTAATTTAAAAATGAGAGATATTTGTTTAGATAGCCTGAAACCACAACTGGAAAACTTCCTGTTGATTGCTACTTGTAGGAGCTGATCTCCGAACAGAAGTGTGCGAGGCATGGTATCACCTTCCCTTGCCCACTATTCTGCACTTTTTAGGGAGCACACAGCATAGCTGTCTGCTGCTCTGCAGGTGTTGAGATGAAGCTGAGTTGGGGAGGATATGAATCTAGTGATATGGAAACCAGTTGCCCACCTGTTCAGTTTCTTGTCTTCCCCTTTTTTTGATCAGTGGACCTGTTCTAAATTGAATGGACCTAGGTCAGTCATGGTATAAGGAACCAGAGCTCATGGCTCCCAAACGAATTGTTAAATTGGGGCTGATGTCAAGTAGAATAGCTACCCCTAGTGGTTTTGTTTCATACAAAAAGTACATTTTTTAAATATGGTAAATAATTTGTTCTTTCTCTGAACATGTTTTCTTATCTGCAGAGGGGAGAGTAATGTCTTCATAAATTTATAAGGAGAAAAAGACTTTCATTAATTGCCTTAGTATCTTTCCAGTTTCTATTATATATAACATTTCAATTTCTCCCTCTATTTTATATATAGCATTTTTCTGAGGAAGTTCGTAAATTCAGACTGAGACCTTAGATTATGATGGGCTAAAGAAAAGGCAAAAATACAAGTGACATAGCAAAGCTTCATAAGAAAATTTGCTGCAAAAGGGGCTTTGGATTGGTGAGGGGAAGTTCTCTGATTTTATCTTCTTCAAAGTCAGCATGTTTCTGAAATAACTAAAGGACTATGTGAAATTAAAGCCTTAAAAGTTACAGTGGATTTTTAGCATATCAGGTAGATCCTGGGAGTGTTAATTATTTTAAAGGCTCAAAACTTACATTTTATGGAATTTTGAATACTGGAGTATAGTATTTTCCTTGATTATATCAGCAAATACATATATTAATTTGTTTTATTTTGAATACTATGTAATTATATACTTTGTAACTGAGAAATTTATTGACTTTTAGGCATCTTCAAAGAATGATATTTCCAAAGTTTGCAGAAAAGAACATGAGGTATGCATTTTATTTAATACATTTGAATAGATTATTAAGCTAGTATCAGAATTTGTAAAATCGCTTATATTTTTTAAATTAATTCATTCTTTTAAAAGCCGCCTTTTACCTTACAAAAAAGTTAGCCTTGACAAAAATGTCATTTATCTTATTTGGAAATGTTACGACTTCAGTTGATTTTTGTTGAATGTAACCCATTACTTTTTTTTTTTTGTAACCCATTACTTTTAAAGAAAGGCCTCCATCTTAATTCAAAGGACTTATAAAAAAGTAACTGGTTTGTCTAAGGTTGTAAACTTGATTAGTTTTTCTTAGGTTCCATTTTCTCTTTTATATATCCCTCAACCCATCTAGGTATCTGTTTTAATAAACTGCCTTTAATTTAGGGAAAAATAATCAGAGAAACAAAATCACATTTCTACTGTCGGTAGCATTAGGCTTTCCTAGCATCTTTTTTTTTTTAAACTGCTTTAAAATGCTCACAAGTGTAAATCTTTTCATTATTTATAGCACACATTACAAATACCCCCATTAAAGACTCATTGCTTTAAATTTATGGGTTTCAATTTCTGTTCTGAAGATCTCTTCAGCACTTTTTAAAATTTTTTTAAAATTAATTTTAATGAAAGTTATAGAGATTTAGGATTTCCATTCATTCATTGTTGCACTTTTCTCCCTGCCCACCCATCCCCACCATCCTAGCATCTTCTATCTGAAAATAACTACTAAATTACAATGGCTGTGATAAACCTGAAGGACTCTTATCTCCCAGTGGTGGGGTTTCAGGCAGTGTGTTATCAAGATAAAAGAGATATTAGGGTAGCATAAAGCAAGTATTTTACACCATACAGATATGTACAGAAGATTATTGCTGATATGAAAAAGTTCATCATTACAACTACATTTTTCTATTATGGGAACTCTTAAATGTAATAAAATTTCAGTGTTGATCATAGAACATAGGATAGGTATTTAAAGATACTCAAGAGTATATGCCTTGTTCATCATTTTTATGTATAAAGAGGATTAATTACTTTTTTTTAGTAATTACTTTTAATAATCTTAATTCTCTTGAAGAAAAAAGAACAATTCTCTTAACTACTTCTGGGTTATAGTTCTCATTTTTTTTCTTTTCCTAAAGCCTATTAATTATATCTCTTTATTAACGTTTTTTAACTGGGAATCTTGTGTTTTTTTAGCTTTGTACTGTTTGCTAAGTTTTATCTGTTTCTCTGAAGACAAGTTTTCAAATTAATCACAGCTCTCTTCTTTTCTTAGTGAAAGGAACTTTGCTAAAAAGAAGTTAAAATCTTCTTTTGTTTTCTTTATCTCTTTAGCTTTGAAATGACCAGCTGTAGTTTCTCTTGAACAAAGTGGCTAACTGTAATAATTCCTTCTTTTCTCCCACATGATCTCTCACACTGTCCATCTCCTGTAGCCTGTCCTCCATTATTTTAGTGTGCTTCCTTCTCTTGTCTGGATTTCTTCATTGCCCTAGGAAGTCTGCCAGTATGTATTGATGAAGGACGGGCAGGAAAGGTAAGAGAGATAAAAACTGTCCTATGATGGAAATACTAAGAGTAGTTTACTTTTCCCAGTAGATCTGCTTTTATTTGGGCTAGGATTCAGCAATCATTTTCTAAATATCTACATGCTGTGAGAGTTCTTTTCTTTTTATGTTAAAAACGGATTCTAGACATTATTCAAGATACAATTTGGTATTTGTGTGTTTTTTAGAAATAGAAAGAGGCAAGTGCAGAAAGAGTACATTATAAAACCCAAATAACAGTTACTGTTATGATTGTTGACATTTAGTCTGACAGTACTGGCTATTTGTTAGAATGTAAATGGGAGAAGTTTGATTATATGCAGCTTGTTAATTTTACATTGATTATCATATCAGAACTATTTTGGATAACCAAGTTTTTATATATTTCCCATTACACTGGCGTGGCCCCTGAGACAAACTTGTCTTTGTAAAGCCATTCTTTTAGGCTTAAAATTTAACCCAAAGGATGATTTTGCAAAGTTTCATCACATTCAGAGAATGAATGATTAAATTTTGAAGAAATAATGTTTCTCTTTACTGTTAAACTTTGTTGATTCACTTTTTGGAAAATTGCCTAAGAAATTTATTTAGATAAATAAAATTTAATGTCATATTAAGATTCTGCTTCTTTTTAGCCAAGCTAACTAAGATAAATTAGTTAAATGGAAAGCATTATTTTCATTTGTTTTGTGGAATATTAGCTGTTAAGGACCCCTGGTACCTTGTGCAGTACATGGTGCTGGTCACCGAAAGATTGTCAGTTTGAATCCACTGGACTATCCTAGAGAGAAAGATTGGCAATGTTCTCCCATTACAATTTGCAGCCTCAGAAACTGCTGCAAGTTGGATTTGACTTGATAGTGGCCAAAGATAGGGAATAGAGTTCTTTTTTATGCAAATAAAAAAATATTTTTTGGCGAGCTCTGGTGGCCTAGTGGCAAGAAGCTGCACTGCAATCCCAGAGGTGTGCGGTTCAAATCCACTAGATGCTCTGCTGAAGAAGGAGGACTAATCGCCTCCTGTATCAGTCAGATCCAATTTGACAGTACACACATAAAAAATAATAATAAAAAAAATTTAACAATATATTTACTTAATGTTGGGAGGTAGCTTTATATATTAGAAAGCCCAGATTTTGAAGTTAGACTTAAGTTAGAATTATGATAAGTTACTTATAGTGTAATGAAGGTATTTATGTACTAAAAATTTTGTTCTATTTTTATTACTAATTTAAATTATTTAAAATACTAGAGAATTTTCTCTATTGAATCAAGATAATTAAAATTTTGTTTGGAGAAGTCAGACAACAGAGTGGTATGTTGAGAGTTTTCAGGAAAACTTTGCAAAAAAGAGAAGCCAAAAATATTGGTAAGATGTAAGATTATAACTCAAAGCATGTTAGAAGTGCACATGAATTATTCAGAGAGAAAAGAAACAGTAGTCCTATTTAGAACTGGAAATCTATGCTTGAATAGGCAAAGAAGGGTCAGATCCTAAGAAGATATCATTTAAAACTGAAGTCATTATTAATGAAGATGATAAAGATTTTATAATGGGAGACAAACACAGCAAATCTTTAATATTTTAGAAACGTTAAACTCTTAGTTATGTGTGGTGGCTAAGTTTTAGGTACCCCAAAGCCCTTCTGATTTAGCTTTAAAAAGGCATAATACCCAGAACTAGGATGATAGTGGCGAATCAAATACTAATAAATCTGAAATTTGAAGACAGAAATCATCAAAAGAATTTGTTATGTTAGATTAAATATAGAGGTTGTTGTTGTTGTTGTTGTTGTTGTTGTTGTTGTTGTGTACCCCATCAGTGACCCTCCAACGGGTTTTCAGAAGCAGTTAATCATACAGGAAGAGATTATGCCTCCTCCTTCCCTGGAGCAGCTGGTGGGTTCAACCTGCATGCCTTTGGGATTGCAGAAAAGTGTCTTACTACTAGGCTACTGGAGCTCCCCATAGGTACAGCTCCCCATAGGGTACTATAGTAAGAGCTAAAAATATTCTTAGGCTTTTAAGTCCAGTGTTCTTGAAGGCCTTTACTATGCTCCTAAGCTTGAAGTATTATTTAAAACTTCTCTTTCTGGCAAGAGAGTGTACTTGGTACCTGGACCACCCCTCCTGATGGAAATTATTAAAAATGTTGGATTAATTTACTGGGAAGAAAAAATACTTGGACCAAAAATGAAATGAAGTCAGAGAAGTAAGCAGAGTATGGAAAGAGAAGAAAAAAGTCTTGAGGGAATTTGCTGATAAATTTTCATAGCTTTGTAGCTTCATGGATCTCAGAAGTCAGGAAGCAAATTCTAGCTCCTGAATAAAGTGAGACGTCTACCTGAAGTTCCCTCATTTTCCCATTAGTGACTATGGGGTTTTCCCATTAGTGGCTATGGGGTCTCACAGGGACTCTTCCCTCTTTATTTGGATAGTTAAACTCACCTTCTGCTCTAGGTGACTGCTAGTAAAATTGTTCTCTCAAACTTTATGTTGAGAGTTCTTAAACATAAGATGACTTTGACTTAAGTTTGCAACTCAGTAATAAGCAAGAGTTCCTTAAACCTTAAGCTGAGAAGTTGTTCTGAAATGATAGTGCTGTCAGGTAGCTGAGAGAAACATACAGAGATCTTCTCTAGAAGAAACAATCTTCATTCCAGGCTCTTGGGATTTCAGCAGTAAAGCTCTAAGGAAAATAATCAACTGACAGTAAAATAATAAAACTTACCAGAAAGTAAGGTAAATTACAGTACAGTAGGTACAGTAAAGAAAGTGAATTAGAAGATAGACATGAAGAAATTATATGGAAAAGCAGCACCAAAGACATGAAACTGAAAAGAATTTATTGTTATTGTGGACCATCAAGTCGGAACCAGCCCATAGCCGACCCTCCAGTGGGTTTTCAGAGGCATTTAATCACACAAGAGGAGATTATCCGTATTTCTTCATGGAACAGCTGGCAGATTTGAGCCACGTGTCTTCAGGATTGCAACGCAGAATCTTATCACCATACTATGATTTGAACCTTTATCCCCAAAAACTATAAATTGAAGTCTGATGGATTGATACAGTGACTGGGGGTTAATGAGGGTAGGTGTCTCAGAGACAGTAAAGTTGGCACAGGATAGAGCAGGTTTCAAGGCTGTTGTACACAGGGTCGTTGTGAGTCACAGGAGACTCAACTGCACATAACCACAACAAACTATACCCATGAATGTGGCCTAGTTTTTAAATACAATTTTATTTTTATTCAGTTAAGTCAGATGAGGTCATACTGGAGAAGGGTATATCATAATTTAATCCCTTCTGAGGAGTATCTTTTAAAAGAAGATAGATTCCCAAGGAAGACAAACATTATTTGATGACAAACACAGATGTATAGATCTGTAAGCAACAAAGGAATGCCCTGGATTGCTGACAGCCCCTAGAAACCAGAAGAGTCATGATAC